ATATATATATATATATACACCTAAATTTGATATGATATAATATGATTCAGGATATGATACCAAAATTTTTTGCATGTTCAGTCGGTGCAACCACATCCTTGTCGACAGTTAATTGAAAGCCATTTAGCCCCAAAGATCAAAACTGAACTTATACTGGCATTGACTTGAAGACAATGCTGCGCAGAGGTAGAAATCAATAAGGCTATGTCTTCATTTAGCATCTGCATTGCAGTAATCATGTCCGAAGGGTGGAATGAAAAATGTAACTGTGTATCATCAGCGTATAGGTTTATTTTGGAGTATTTGATTACGTTCACAAAGTTTGAGGTATATAATATAGATAGAAGAGGACCTAAAATCGAGCCTTGTGGAACACCGCGATTTATCTTCAATGGACTGGAAACTATATTATCTAGTTTAATTCTTTGCACTCGCTCGCTTAAATACTTTTCAAAAAGTTGAACCGCGATATTTGACAAACCAATGGATTCGAGGATAGTGAGAAGAATAACGTGATTTATCGTATCGAAAGCTTTCGAAAAATCAAGCATATCAAGTGCTGTAGCTTTTTTAAGATCAAGTGCGCTGAAAACTTCATCTGTAATGTTGTGTTTCTGGTTAAAGGTTTTTAGTCGAAGCAAATTCAGAAAGTTGGTTGTAAAAAACTCTTTCAAATAACTTAGAAACAGCTGGCAGAATGCTAATTGGACGCAAATCTTTGAAGCTTTCTGGATTACTTTTTTTTGGAAGAGGTATAACCAGGGCTTCCTTCCAACAATTTGGATAATCACCTGTTTGAATGCAGAAATTTATCATGTGTGTTATGTAAGGTACTACGGAAGGACAACACATAATCAATAATCTGATATTTATGCCATCGGAGCCTTCAGCATTGCTTTTTATAGTGCATATAATTTTTTATATATCAATTTTGCTTATTTGTTGGAAAGGAAACTCAAGACTCTTCTGCCTTTTATTATTTTTGTAAAATTCCAGAATTTTAGGATGCATTACCAAGTTGGGATTTGAATTCACGAAAAAGTTATTGAGTTCATCAGGCTTCCTTAAATCTTCTGGAATATCAGTAGGTTTTTTTTTATTTATATTAAGTAAACCTAGTTCTTTCCAGACTTTGTTCACACCATTTGTTCGCATCGTATGTTGAAAGTAAGTTTTTTTTTTCATTTTTACATGCTAGAGTGGTATAATTTCTCAAAAATTTATAATACTCATAATGACCTACATTTTTCGATCGTTTCCACCTAGCGCGAGCCTTATCTCTTAGTTTCATTGATAGTCGTATATTATCAGTAATCCAAGGGGAATAAGGTTTTGTTATTCTGCTAGTTCTCAGTGAGGCATGATGGTTGAAGACCGAAAGAATGGAGTCGCTTAGAAGTTGCAGTTTCTCGTTCATACCATTCAGATCGTAAATCGAAGGGAACGAAGCATGCCAGATATTTGAATAGAAATTGTCTATAGAGAAATTCCGAAAGTCCCTGATAACTTTAAATGTTTCCAGTTTTTTTGGGTGCCGAAGTAACTAACTCAAACACTTGAGTATTTAAGTGCAGTTCAATCCACAATTGCTCGAATTTCACTAGTTCGGACTTCCATTGTCTACTATATAAAATTATTTGAACTCCCTGAAACAACTAAAAAAGAAGAATTAAAAATGAGATAGCTGTAAATAATAATTATATCAACCAAAAATATAATAAAAATAAAATATAATATAATGAAATGAAATAATAGTGAAATAAAATACAAGTAAAATAGAACAATTGAACAAAAATAAATAAAAATAAAGAAATGAAAAAAAGAAGAAAATAAAAAGTGAAGAAAATCCAAGTCACGTTAGTTCACGACGTTTCGATTGTTAGTATCTACAATCGTCTTCGGGTGATGACTGCATCTCGGTTACTGAATGAGGTGTTATGATTATGCGATATTTGAGGGATTTACTAATATAGAAACACACACCACCCCCTCTTCCCGAGTGTTTATCTTTTCTTACAAGAGTGTACCCTTCAATCTCTAATGACTCATCATTCACTGCTGAAGTCAACCAGGTTTCTGACAGCCCTATTACAGAATAAATATGTGATGATACATGAGCCTCAAATACATAAAATTTTGGGATTACGGATCTTATATTCAAATGAGCAATTTTAAATGATTCAGACATTATAAAAATATATTATATGAAAATTTGATAATGAACAGCATGTAACTAACGATCCAATAAGAATTTTTTAGACCTTTGCTGATATCTTGTTTTAATTGCTGCACCCAAAGTGGGACCCGAAGATGTCGCAACATAGTGCTATCCTCGCTTTGTCGGTGACTTCGTAAGTATATAAGTTCACTCGAATTCAGAAATACTCACGTTCGTATCAGTGGTTGATTACAATTGATACCAATGGTTGTGAAACTGGGAAACAACAATAATGGTCTTGTATATGAATGTGAAATCACTGATTCAGCTCATTATATTCCATTAGTTGTTTTTGTTTTGGCATCAGCGACGTTCGAGGAAAATATGTAGTCACAGGCAGATTCGAACTCAAGACCTTCTGGCACATTATCGCTGTGCCATTTCACCACTTGTATTTGCTATAATTTTTTGTAATATTTCACATCAGTTGAGTATGTTGAATTTCTCACTTCAAAGAATGGTTGAGTTTTGAATAATTGATAGAATACATTTTTCTAGTTTTATCGCTTTTGATGAAGAGCTAACTGAATAAAAATGTATATATGAATACAGACAGATCAAACAAAAGTTGATAAAAATCATACATTCGAGAAACTCAGATCTAAATTTGTTGTCATAACTCCTTGTACTGATTTCTATTCATTTTGTAGGCAAATAAAACAATGGAAAATTCAGCTCAAGTAAAATCTTCTTCGACTTTTACAATGATTTTTAAAAATGTTCAATTTTATCCACAAAATTGTTTCTCAAATAATAAAATATGCCATATGGCTCTGAAATTACCTGTAAAAAAATTTTGCTTGTCATTTTTATGTATTTGGCATTGCATACTAAAGTCAATAGCTTCTTCTGAGTAGGGTGTGTTAATAAATCTCTCAGCCACCTAGGAGCATCATGTCTATTCGTAGTTCCGTCAGCCGTGTTCTAAAGTAGAATCAATCCACCTTCAATCTGAAAGCAATGTTTCATTCAATAATCAATAACGAAGCTTGACTTTGTGATAGTTAGCTGTTGGAAGCATGGTTCGAATTATCTGTCTATATACCGGGATCAACGAAATCATATATAATACATGTGGCCATTTCTATCGAATATAGCATGACGTCACATATCACCTCCTATTCAGATTTTTGAGATGAATGAAGTAAAGATGGCATTTAATAAAAGTCAGAAAAGAGTTCCGTAGATTAGTGAAAAATTTCAATTCTTGACTATTATTCAAAAACTGAGAAAACTTCTTCGTACTCTGTCAACGAAACATGGCCTTGGACTTGTGCTATGACCTTGAAATACGACTGTCATCTATGCATAACCTCTAACCCCTCTCTCTTTTTGATGATTTTCTATATAAGGTTAGTGTTTCATATATTTTCTTCAGTTCAGACTACCTAACGTAATTGAATAGTTAGTGAGTATTTGTTGAGTTGTGGCGACGACAGCAGCGAGTATTTTCCAATCCAAGAAGTGAACATCATCATCACAAAGGTGAACATATTTTA